TTTTCCCCCCCCCTTCTGGAGCAGAGACACTGTTCTTTGGAAGCAAATGCGGGAGTTTCTGGACGGGGATTGTGAAAGGGTGGTTGTTTCTTAACCTGTAAATTGTCGGGGTTTATTAATCCACCTTCGGTGACCGTCTTCTCCCCGCAAGTCATGTAAAGGAGTTGGGATTAGTCGAGATCCATTTTGCTGACCTCTGTAATTGGTTCTGCTCCAGTGTCCTTTACAGCGCTTCACATTAGCTGGAGCTCAGAACTGGAAAAAGTGATTTTTTTTCAAAACATTTTTTTTTTTTTTTTGGAAGAGTGTGCTGTACCGACTCTGTTGTGGATGACCAGACAGGGACTGGATAAAGGGTTTTGAAATGCTGTAGGACCGTTGGTAGCTGTAGTGTTCCCTGTAGTCTTCGTCAGCCCTAAAACTTGAGGTACTCATGGAGATATGCGATGCAGTGGAAATATGTAAAGCATGTAGCTTCAGAGCTGCGTTTAGACAGTTGGTCTGAGGGCCATGAATGTCTTGTGTGCTGGGAGTTTTGGCTAATGTAATCTAATCAGTTTTAAAGGGCCAAGCTACATTATTTCTGTTTGTGGTGCCTCTCTTCAGCTTAAAATCGTCCCTCGCCAGGTGTGTTTTTCATGTTTTGCACGCCCTTGCCGAGCTATTGTGGAATTGCAAAGGTGAACCAAGTTCCACGTAGTACCTTAAAGGTAAGGTACTAATGATTCATTTATTACTGTGTTAGAGGAGGTGTATTTTTACACATAGATACCTCGGCAGTGGGAGTAGATTGATATTAACCTCATAACATCCATGCCTGTGGATAGAAGCTGCTGTCTGTACTAGAGGAGCGTTTCCTCAGAAGGCACTTCTTGTGCTTTGGGACGCACTGGTCCAGCCTGTCACCTTCCATGGTGACAATATCTTGCTTGGACACTGGGGGTTGGGGGGGTGTGTGTGTGTGTGGTGTGGGTTGGTTGTGGTTTGTTTTTTTTTTTTTTTTTAACAAGCCTGATAGCAGGGCGTGTTAGGCGAGGTGAAGATCATCTGGGCATGTGTTGTCCCTTGGCATGAGTTCAAGCATGAACCTATCTTCCGCGTTCGCGGGTTGAGCCTAATATGTCTCCTGTCTGTCCTTCCAGCGCTGCCCGGTGCTGGGCAGACAGGCTAGCCTGGGGCTGTTGCTAGAAGGGCACAGATGTTGAGTTCTGCAAGGCAGACAGGTTTTGTAGGTAGCCTGAATGACGAGTCTCCTGCAGGTAGTGTGGATGCACCACGTTGCATGACGGCGTTCCAGCCTGCCTCTCTGGCCTGGCTCCGGCGGCCAAGGGATGGCCGGCATAGCCCGAGAGGTGAGGACATGGCGTGTTCGGAGGAGCAGAGTCCAGCCAGGGACTGCAGCCAGAAAGGCAGGAGCTCGGTGTTCCTGATTTACAGCTTCACAGCATCAAAGGAGGAAAACGCAGTTAAGAAGTCAAAGCTTCTCATAGAAACGCAGCTCTGCCAGGTACTGTCCGTGATGGATGTTTTTAAACACAGTCTGTATAGGGAAGCTTTGAGACTCGGGCTTATGCAGAACTCGCTGCTAATCTCTCAGCAGGATATACTCCTGAGTAAGCTGTGTTCTGGTCTAGGGTACGCTCCTGTGCTAAGAGGAGGATTAAGTACTGTTAAAGGAATCTGGTTATTCTATCCAAAGCATGAATTAAAGCAGCGGTCAATAAATTACACTAGAGGAAAAAAACGTTGGTAGGTTTATTGGTGGTATGCACACGCTCCTGTGTTACAAAGGCAGTGGGTGCTGTCATACAATTTTCTGCTGGCGTAAAAAAGATCTAACAGATCGCTCTTAACAAAAAAATTGTTAGTGGATGTTCTTGTGCCTGCTGTACGTATTTCTTTTCCACTCTGTTTCCAGGATGCCAGCGTATCGGTTTGCTCTGCCTGGTATTTGGTGGTGATCCACTCACCTAATAATACAGTCCTTGAAGCAGCTTGGAAGCTTTTCTACTTATTACTGTAGCTGGTTATCTCTGCAATCTACTTGAGTGCTATTAAATGTTATTTCTATAGGGGTTCCCCACGCTGGCAATAAATAGCCTGAAGTGAACCAAACCACACAGCTGATTAGTATGGAGGAACTATTTGGTTTTGGTTTTGCTCTACTGGTGGTAGGCAGTGTTAGTCCAGGAGGCCATAAAGGTACGATATGCCTTCCCTGAGTGATCGTGGCCCCATGTTTTACCAGCCTCCTGGACAGGGAGTTGGCAGTGTGTGTGGTTTCCAGCCGGAGGGTAACGTAAGCAGCATCCTATGTGCAGGCACACGAAAGGCTGGACGTGGAAAGGTGGGGTGGGAAGCACCTTGCAGCCTGCAGCTTGTGATCACTGGGTGCTGCTCGGTGCCAAGTGCTCATGTGCCTGCTTGCTTGCATTGATCACCTGTAGGATAGGTAGAGGTAATGAGTGACTTTCTGAAGTGACTGATAGCTTTGGGTGTAGGTACAGTTGTGTTTTGCTGCTATGGGGTTTGCCATGGGGGATGTAATCGGGTTGGGAGCCTGGTTCAGGGCTGGCATGTGCCACCTGAACAGTCGCTTCCAGGAAGCAGTGCGCTTTTTCTAAATCAAAGCTTGTTGTTAGGGTGTTACGTACAATGAGATTTTTATGAATAGCTTAGTCATGCTTCGCTTTTTTTTTTTCTCCTCTAAAACAGCTGTCAACAATCTAGCTGTGGGGAGGGAATCGGTCACTCCTTGTACTTACTGAATAGTCAAACACTTCAGTCGTGGTGTTGCAGCCTGGCATTGCGCTTCTTAGTTACTTTTGGAAACAAAGATGTGGATGTGGCAGAATATCTTCTTTTCATTTTTTTATTTATTTAAGTCTGCCTTTCTCCCTTGCAAATGACCTTTATGCAGACCTAGAAGGCAAAGCACATCACTGAGAGTTTAGCTGGTTAGTTACTTTGGTTAGTGATAAGAAAATATGATGGCAGTGCTCCAGAGAAAGCAGCTGTGTCGGGAACTTATTGCTGCAGTCAAGCTATACAGATCTTTTTCAAAGAGCTATATCTCTATATATTTATGGCCTTTTGTCACGGAAACAGGGCAGCTCCTCTGTTGACGTCTACATGACAAATATGCTGTGACGCCACAAATCCTGTAAACAGTTTAATGCCCTTCCAGAGACCGCCGGTGGAAGCATACAGTAGGTAAAACTTTTTCATTCAGTGTCATCCTAAACTCAAACTGTAATTTTGTGATCTTTTTGTGCGCCCGTGTAGGCGTAAGCAGCCTCTTCCAGTTCTGCAGCTGGGCCATGATGCTATTTGTGGGTCTGTTCAGCGAACCAGACTGGGAAATGGATTCCGGTGAATAATTTTTTTCTCTGTACAATTCCTACCTTGGATCAGTTCAGTGAAAACGTTCGTTTTTTACCTGGATCAGTTCCCTGACACATGTCCCTTCATGGTCTCGCAAGCAGCTGCCCTGGCAGATCTGCGGTGCTTCTACCAGGAGAAATGCTCCTGGAGCTACACCCTTGGAAGTGCTTTTCTGATTGCAAAGAAAGCATTTGACTGTGGTGCCCGTCCCTGTTTTATAGCATGTGAAGACGACAAGGGAGATAGATGCGTTTCTAAGATAAGCCCGTGAGTTAGAAGTCAAAGCGTTTCCTTTTCAAGTTCCCTAAGACTGCAATTATTTCTATCTAGAGTGAAGATATATCTTCTCTGCAAAAATAAGTCTTGCCATTTTTATCTTTTTTTAATTTTCTTCATAACCATTTTAGGTTATGCTTGTAAGTTGTTGAGGAGCGAGGGAAGAAAGTGTAATCACAAATATTTTTTTGTCAACAGTCCTTAAAAAGTATGTAGTATGATATCTTGCAAAAAGTAAGCTTTAGATCTGTTGTAGCTGTAATGGATTGCATGTTATAACATGGTCAGGCAGTCTAACAAGACTATTTTACATATATTTAAAAAAAAACCCTAAAAATCAGATGCTGAAGAGTTTATTGGGTGATTTTTATCACGGGTGAGAAAAAGCTAAATTCCTTGCTGAGGTAGCGATGTAGTGCTCACGGTTCAAACGCTGAACTGTAACAAAGGCGCACTGGGAACTTCTCAAATATTGCGCATGGGACTCGAATAAGCGTAAGGAAAAATACCCCTCAAACAACTGTCAGCACCTCCTACGGCATTTGTGTTGAGGGCTTGAAATAGAGTATATTCCAAGCATGTTTTGTGTGTGAGGTCGGGTTTAGGTGCCTCTGGGCAGCCTCCTGTGGGGTTTCTCACCGCTGCGAGGATGGCTGGTGGTGTGGACCTTGTGGGCTTCCACGGTTCATAGATCTTGGTTTTGGCCTTGGCTGTAGCATCCAGAATGGTGCTTTTTCGTGGGTTAACCTGTGATTCTGTAGCTGGGGTTCACTTCACAAAGTTAATCCTCCTTGACCACTTCTGTTTTCCTTTGAATCTCTTTCCTCTTCAGAAGGACCAGGAATTCACCTTTTTATTTCTTCAAAATGATCTAATCTCTTCCTTCCGAAAAAAATTTCCTGTGATTCCATAACTTGTTCATAATAAATTATTTTCCCATCTAGATGCTCTTGTCTTTCTGAAACCGGTGATAATTTTTCAATCAGTAGATGTGGCAACTGAGCTGGCACAGTTTTCTTGTATGTTTGATTCTTGCATGAGGTTGCCTTTTGATTTCCTTGGAAATTGTGGGATGGCAAATGATTGCTTGTGTCAGTGAGTTGGATCCTAGTAGTTGCTCTTCCGAGACACTGTTAAAAATGTATGAGCGCACGTAGTTGCAACTGATCCATTGCATCTTAGTTTCAAGCACTTGTGAAATTTTCTAATCAGCTATGCAAAATGTTTAGCGTTTGCCAGAGCAACTTCCAACTGCTTCTAGTCTCTGTTGGCATATTTCTTTTTTACTTCATTCAGGTGGCTAGTCTACCTTTCACAAAAGTCATTACCCTTCATTGAACCGTTTTTAACTTAATGTTACATTTGCAAAATGCATGGTGAGAAGTTTCCCCAAATTGTTGTTTAATGTGAGATGTTATTTACAGTGTGACAGCACCGCTGACATCAGCCTCATCTAGTGTAAAAGCAAGGATTTAAAGATTTTCTTCTGTAGCAGCTACTTCAGGTTTTATTTCGGAGTCGGAGGGGAAAAAAAATAAGCGATGAATTACTTTTAAATAAGAGGCTGATTTTTGGTGAGACTTATTCTCCATGAGCATGATTTAAGGTGGTCATCTTAAAGCAGAAGGGTGCACGTCAGTTGATGATGTTCAAAACTTTTTGTTGAGAGAAACTACCCGATGTGTCATGTTTGAATCCCCTGTGCTTTTTATCACCTATGACTAATGCAAATTGGAGCAGTAAGTTATGTTAAGACCTGTGACGTACTTTGTAGCTTCATCTAAATTGTATCTGAGGTTACTGGCAAAGTTACTTGGGAAAGTAAATCTCTTTCCCAATGTGTCTCTGCCCCCAATGGTGTAACTGCTCTGTAAGTCTGAATACTGCAGTTAATAAAACCATTACAAACAAGGATTTTGGCATGGAGCAGCTGTTCTAAACCGGACTGTCTTCAGACTCAAACTACTGACTCACCCTGTCTTTTTCTGTGGATTAGCACACTTGGCATGTGTCACGCATGGATGCTGGCCGACTCATCGTGTTCTTGCAGGTATCCCTGTTTTCAGCGCAGGGAAGACCGAAGGGAGCGTGTGAGTCTGCGCAGAGACCTCCTGCAGGAGATAAAAACCTCCTAATGGAAGTTGATGCCGAGGATGGGTTTTATCCGAAGACCCCTTTCGCCATGTCCCTGCCGCTGGGCTGCGGGAGGGATGCTGCTCTGCTGCTGCTGCGTTTGAGGGGAGCGCAGAGCTGCTGCTCCTGTGAAGTCCCTTTGGTGCAACCATATGAAAAGCTGTGCTGGGTCAAGCCGTGGTCTGTCCAGCCTTGTTTCCTGCCCCACAGCGTTGGTTGTGGGTCCTTGGAGAGGTGCAAGAGCAAGGCAAATGGTCCACACTAGCGTTCGTGGGCATGGCGGGGTTCAATACCAGGATGTGTGGCACCTTCGGCTTCCTGGCACGTGTGGCTCTGAACACCCAGCCGAATATTGGAAGCTGCTGTCAGTAGGAAGAGAGGGAAAATAGGGGATGCCAAGGCGTGAGGTGGCTGAAGTGAATGAGAGTCTTGCTGGCTTTATGCACTGGTTTCCCTCCTGAGTTTCCTCTGGGATGCTGAAGCCTTCAGTCCCATAATAGCAGTGGGACAATGAATGCTCGGATGGAGGAAGCAGGTGTTAAAGGAAGGGGGGAAGTGATTTTATTTTTGGGGGGAAGGGGAGACAGGATGGCCAGATTTGACCCTTATACAAAGCAATTTCTTCTGGCACATGAGCTTGTGCACAGCACAGCAAGCTTCCTAATTGCTGAACCCACAAGTAAGATGGCAGCAAAACTGGGACTTGCCCTGTTT